CGGACCAGGAATCGTGGGCAAATGCACCAGTACAATGTCGGTGCTCCCTTCGAGAGAGTAGCCATTGATATCGCAGGGCCCTTCCCACGAAGCGACCAAGGAAACCGATACTTACTGATCGCTATGGACTACTTCACCAAGTGGCCGGAAGTGTACGCCATCCCGAATCAGGAGGCTTCAACAATAGCAGAAGTTCTGGTTGCCAACCTCTTCTGCCACTTCGGCATACCTCGGGAGTTGCACAGCGACAAAGGCCATAACTTCGAGTCTCATCTACTGAAAGAAGTATTGCAACGCCTGGGAGTAAGCAAGACGCGCACCACACCCCTGCACCCACAGTCGGATGGCATGGTGGAACGCTACGTCAAGACCATCGAAGAGCACTTGCGGAACGTAAACACGTTACAATATTAACAGCTTTGCTTTGCTATTGTAAGCACATAGTTTGGGTTATTGTCTGCTCTCAGAAGCAGGCAGTCATTGTCTGCTCTCAGAAGCAGGCAGTCATGTTCTTTCTTGCTGCCACATTGTTCCACTGTGAATTCTGTCTTCTGTTTTTCACTGTTCCACAATTTTTTGTATTAATTTACTGAACTCTGGACTGTATGTCTTCTGGCTTACATGGCAGAGCAGACAGGAAAATCTGACATGAGAACATAGAATAAACATATTTTATAATTTTTTGTAACTTTTTAAAGATATTTTTGAGTAGCCTAAGTGTTTTGTGCAAGGTTTACCCCAAAAGTTATCATTCTTATAGAAAGATCCATTAGCAACAGGCAGCAAGCTGAGTTGAAACTTTCTGCCTCCTCCTGCAGGTTCCATGCTTGGCTTACTCTGCTGTGGGGATGGAGGTGATATGTTCCTCTGAAATGTGAAGCTTTCTATGTACTACACAATGTTACAACCAAGAGTTACCAATTTTCTTGAGAGTAGTCTTATTCCCACTGTTTTTATTATTTTGGGCTGAGGGTATCAGCCGGAGCGTCTTCAGGCGGGAATTTATTTGCTCTTTTATACGTTATTGGCCTCTCTTCCCATGTTGGTTGGGATTTTTTGTGTTTTTAGTTCTTTATGTTCTGTTAGTTTTTTCATTTTAGCATTTTCATTTCATAATCACTGTCATAAAAACTGTAAATCCACAACATTCTTTGTCATTCACAGAATTAGCAATGACGAAGGGAACAATTGGGAAGACCTGGGTTTTTAAATTTTAAACTAAGTGCAGTGTAACAGCTACGTGAGTGTATACACCTGATGATGGCTGTTTGCGGCCGAAACATGTAGTGTAGAAGAAAGCAAGACGAAAGACCTATAATAAATTGTTGCACTTAAGACGGAGTTTATATCATATATCATTTACAGAAGTTCACTCATCTTTGAACTGTGGATAATTTACCTGTAGATATGTGCTTTTGTTGAAGCATATTGTCATGTGTTAGTTACTGGACATGGGATTTGGATTGATAACTGGATTTATTGAACAAATCTCCTAACTGCAAATAGTTATAACAACCAGCTTGCAATTCAACTCTCAGCTGGAACTCAGCCTCCTAGCCATCACTGACTCATTTCAGGTCAAAGTTATGTTACAACTGATGGTCACTCAGCCAGTCTGTCATGGTGTCAGACACCTGTCTGGGGCCAAGACAAGATTTTTATTACTGTCAGTTTGTTGATGAGGATTGCCTTTCTGATGAGAGGACAGGTCTGTCATTTCCAATTGCTGCTGGCCCTTGCCATTGTAGTTGTTCTATGTCCCACGGGACTCATGACCATGTTTTACTGTCTCAGATTCGAAACTCTAACCTGGTAGGCCAGGTCCCTGTATTTATATCCCCCAGGAACAGGGTGGTTCAGTTGTACCCCCAGGCACTGGATTCCCTTTTTGTCACCACCTACTATTTGCAGGGCTATGTTACTGGCTCATTTGCCTGAGGGCTCTCATTATTGCCTTGGGAGAAACCATACAAAAAACATTTCCAACAGCTGCTTCACTGTTGTTGTGTGAGTGAGCCATTGCCTAGTGACAGCTCGTTTGTTTATCAAGCTGTTATCTATCAGCAGACAATTTTTCAGCCATGTCACAATACATTGCAAAGGCTGTCTGTAATATGTCATGGTTTCAATAACTGTTGCACCAAGCTTGGAACAAAAATTTATGCACATTCTTTGTATTGTTGACTTGCTGCCCCCACCCTTTTTTAAAGGTGCAGAATAGGTGTGCAGACATTTACTAAATTATTTCAGCTATATTTGGCAGACAACATAGAATTGCACCGCTTAGACAAACTACTTATGAAGGTACACTTTATTGCCACTTAGGTGGAAAAATGTTACTGTTATCGTTATGGAGTTTACAATGTGCGGCAATAAAGAAACCGGATTACTTTTATGACTCATTTCCAGCCACGTTGATGACGAAGAGGAGGGTAGGGCATTGACCTGTGGACTTCTCTCTACCGTCACACAAAGTTTCATTCATGCGCATCGGTTAGTCTGGCCACAACCATTGTTAGAAGTGGATCGTGTGTCTCAGCTCTGTCAGAATAATGCTGAGTGCTAATGTAGAACAACGTGTTAACATCAGATTCCTCACAAAACTTGGAAAATCTGCCACTGAAACTTACAGCTTGTTGACAGAAATATATGATGATCAATGTCTCTCGAACGCAAGTTTTCGAGTGGTTTAAGAAGTTTATGGAGGGTAGGAAAAACGTTGGGAACGATCCAAAATTGGGCCGTCCTTCCACTGCGAAAACTTCGGAGAATGTGGAGAAGGTTGCTAGAATTGTTCGAAGAGATCGTCGACTGAGCATTTGAGCAATTTCTGAACTTACCAGCATCAATAAGAAAAGTGTTAGACAGATTTTGCACGACGATCTGGGCATGAAAAAGGTGTGAGCTAAAGTGGTGCCAAAAATCCTTACCCCCCAGCGAAAGGAACATCGAGTGAATTGCTGTGTTGACACACTTAAAAACATTGAAAATGATCCTGATTTCTTCCAAAACGTAATTACGTGTGACGAAACTTGGATTCTTCAATATGATCCAGAGACTAAGCGACAATCCATGCATTGGAAGAGCCCCAAATCCCCTAGGAAGAAGAAAGCGCGCATGA